CTGCAGTAAGTGCATGAGGTCCTCCTCAGTTTCAGCGAGCAGGGTTGTGTCATTTGCATAACGCAGATTGTTGATAGATCTTCCACCAATCCTAAAGCCACGCTTCTCCTCATAGAGCCCAGCCTCTCGGATGATCTGCTCCGCATACAGGTTGAAAAGGTATGGAGATAAGACACATCCCTAGCGTACACCCTTCCCAATTTTGAACCATGCAGTATTGCCCTACTCTGTTCTGATGACTGCCTCTTCTTGGTCCAAGTATAGGTTTCGCATTAGCACAATTAAATGTTCTGGGATTCTCATTCTTCTCAGAGTCAGCCACAGTTTATTATGATCCACGCAGTCAAACGCCTTTGCATAATCAATGAAAAACATTCTTCTGCTATTCCCTGCTTTCAGCTAAGATCCATCTAACATCAGTTACAATATCCCTAGTACCACGACCCCTTCTAAACCCAGCCTGGAACAGCAACACACTAATGATATAATACCACTGTACTAGTGATATAGTGTGAAATTACATAAGGAACTGACATATCAGGAACTGTTTGTTGAGCAGGGTTTAGGGCTGTTGTACATAGGATTGTTATGAGTTGTAGGCAACTCGATGGCACATAACAATAACAACAACCTATTACTCTGTATAAGGAATTTATAGACTGAGAACTAACTCAGTTAGACTGAGTCTAACTGCTGAGAATTTAGACTATATGAAGGAGAATGTGACATTAGGATTAGAGGAGAACGCATCACATATTCAGATAATATGACCTTGCTTGCAAAAAGTAAAGACAACAAAGGAAGCTTAGAGTTCTCAGTATGTATCACATTTCAACATAAGACAAAAATCTTTACAACTAGACCAATAAACAACATCATCATAATTGGGGGAAAGTTTAAATTTTTCATGGATTTCAGTTTACTTGGAATCACAGTCAATACCAATGGAAAAAAACATCAAAAAATAAAATGATACATTGCAGTTGGAAAATCTGTGTTAAAAGAGGTCATCGAAGTGCTAGAAAAAAGATGTCACTTTGTATACTAAGGTGAATCTGACTCTGTATTATTTTGCATTAATTTACCTCTCTGTATTTTTAAGGAGTTGAAGAGGAGGGCCCCAAAGCTTTAGATAGATTTTCAGAAGAGTCCATAGATTCATCAAGTGTTAAAAAACACTGAAGAAGATGGAGCCAAATAGAAGAGTTTAAACAGAAATATCAAGTTATCCATTTTGCCCATTGCCATCAAATCAATTCCAATTCCTGGTGACCCTCCACTGAGTTCTCGAGGTTGAAAATATGAACAGGACTAGCTGGCCTCCTTCTCCTTTGAAGAGACCAGTGAATAGATTGCTAATATTAGCTTTTTGTTAGCAGCCTAAAATGTAACACACTTTACCACCAGGGCTCCAAATAAGCTTTATATAGGTTGAATTTGAAAAGTATTGCCATATTCTTTTGGTTACAACAGTATAGAAGCCTAGAATCTCAAACCGGAAGAGGAAACACATGCTAGAATTGTCCTTTACTGCTAAGTCAACCAAATAGAAAAACACCGAGGCTGACTCACCTGACACCTACTCCTTCTTTAATGTAAATGATTCTAATCCACTACCAGGAGTCAAACAGAGAATTTTTTTTTTCTCCTTTTCTCTGAAGGTATTCACATTTACAATGCAATGATGCATTTAATTTGTCTTGGAGGCAAAGATCACAAAACTTTGTCTCACATACTTTGGGCATGGTGTTAGGAGAGGCTATTCCTTGGAAAGGAACATCATGCATGGAAAGGTGGAGGGTTGGTGAAAGAAAGACACACAACCACATGGACTGGCACAGTGAATGCAGTAATGAAGTCAGCTGTGTCAGAGACTGATGCACAGGATAGGACAGGGTTCAGATCTGTTGTTCATAGGATTCCTAGGAGTCATACTTTACAACATCTAACAAAAGCAACAGTAATTTCAATTGCTTAAATGTACTATTTATGAGATTACAGAAAGATCTCTGATGGTATAATCCACAGGAAATTACTCTATTAACCCACAGTTGTCTCTACTATAGGCTCCTCTGGAGAAAGATGGGAAATCTCCTGTGTGATTTACAGCCTCTGAAAACCTGCTGAAAAGTCAGCTATGAGCTGATTCCAATTAGACAGTAGTAAGTTGACTTTTTATATTGAACAGCAAAATCATTTTCTACAATCTTTGTACATTGAATTCCAATATGACCAATTGCAATATTCTTAGTAACTGAGCAGAAACCTTTTTTCCCTCACCGTTTCCCCTTTTTAATTACCACTTCATCCTAAAAAAAAAAATGATTGATGTAAATTCACAAAAAAATAAATAGAACAGTATTAAAGCTAAAACATCAGAAAATATGACAAAAATCAGTGACTATAAAAAAAAGTCTATCTTTTGAGAGAAACACAACCAGGTTGCTTGTTAGAAGCAAGGATGGTGGAACTTCATCTCACATATTTTGGCCACGTTGTAAGGAAAGGCCAGTCCTTCGAAAAGAACTCCAGGCTGAGAATGGTGGAGGGTTACAGAAAGAGAGGAAGACCTTCAACAAGATAGATTGACACAGTGACTGCAACAATGAACTCAGGCTTATCAGACATATTGGGGATGGCACAGGATAGAACAAAGTTCAGATCTGTTCACGGAATGGTGACAAATCATACAGAACTCACTGGCACCTAAAAACAACGATAATAAAACACTGGCAACAACAGAAACAAAAGTGAGTGCTTATGATGCACACAGATGAAACCACGTGATTTGAACCATCCTTGTAGTTGAGTAGTAATGATAGCTCTGACAGTAACATAAACATATTACAATGTTCAAAAAAAATAGCATAGAGTTTAAGCCCTGTAGGAATACCATACATGTAAGCCAAGTTTATGAATAAATAGTTTTGGTGTTATAACTACTTTTAAGAACACTTTTGTTTTTAAAAATGTCAGCTAAATAACAAGCGAGAGTGGCATCCACTTCCTAAACAACATGCCTCTGGAAACTCTATGAACTTTGTTTGAGAAACAATGGTAGTTATAGAAAGGCTTCAGGGTCGCTATGAGTCGTGCTCAACTCAAAGACACTGAACAACAACAAATACCTTTTAAAAAATTATAGAAAGTCATTTTGGCATCACTCCCCCTCTGACAGGGTCACCTGATAGTCTATAACCTTTGCACCATGTCCTCAGTGAAACGTTGGGTGTAAGTCTTCTCTCTTCCACATAACAAGACACACAAACTTACTGTCGGTAGGTATACGCAATGTCAGCCAACTGCTTCCTTCTTGCTCTGTACACAGGATCTTTAAAACCCTAGGAGAAAAGAGACACGTTTGTTGGTTCTGCATGGGGCATAGTTGAGGATGGGGGAAAGCAGATTTCTACAGGAGACCAGTTATAAGATCACCTGAAGTGTGCATGCAATCTCTTTTCTTCATCTCAGAAATTTTATTGTTTAGGCAACAGGTGAGATATTGAGGAGAGTGACTTTGTTTTGCGGGAGTTTTGAGAAGATAGTAACATGGAAAAGTCATAGTAGTAGTCATCTACTAAGTTATTTACCCCATATTTTGTTGATATCATGGTTGAAGTTAAACTTCAGAATGTTGTTATGTGCCATTGAGTCACCTACAGCTCATAGTAAACCTATGTACAACAGCTCTGAACACTTCTCTATCCTGGGCCAATCTTATTGTCTCTGACACATCTAACCCTATTACCCCAGAGACTAAATCACTCCACCTCATAGATGGTCTTCTTCTCTTGCACTGTCCCTCCACACTCCCAAACATAATGTCCCTCTCCAAGAACTGGTCCCTCCTTGCAACAAGTCCAAAGACTCACAATCCTTGCCTCCAAGGAGCAGCCTGGTCTCATCCTATCTAGTATGAGCATGTTTGTTCTCCTAGCAGCCCGTGTTATGTTCAATACTCTTCTCCAGCAGCACAGTTCAAAGGCATCAGTTATCCTTCTATCATCCCTTGTCATTGTCCAGTTTTCTGATGCATAGCAAGTAATTGCAAAGACGATGGCCTGGAGTACTCCTGGCCTAGAGGCAAGAAGCTGCGCTGCAATCTCAAAGGCACGTGGTTCAAATCCACCAGCTACTCTGTGGGAAGAAGATGGGCAATCTCCTCCTGAGTGTTTAACTGCCTCTGAAAACATGCAGGAGGGTCAGCTATGTGTCGGTTCTGACTTGACGATGGACAACTGCAGAGTAGCCATGATTAACTTGTTGTATGCTGTAGAGTCAGAAGTGACCCACAGATGACCCTCCAGCAGGTTCTCAGAGGCAGTAGACTGCATGGGAGGAGACTGACCATCTTTCTCCAGTGGATCACCTCGTGGATTTGAACTGCACACTCCTAGGATTGCAGTGTAGCTTCTTACCAGAAGGTCACTAGACCCCCTAAGTAAGAAAAGTGCAAGGAGCTGGATTGTTATCCTCATTCATTTATTCCCTGGAAGCATGAGGTCTACCAAGAAATCTCTTGGAGCTTTAGTTTGTTCTTCAATAAATAGAGATTGTTGATTGTATATAATTTACAATGCTGCATGCTTGGATTAGGGAAAATGTTGAACCAAAGTCTGAGCACATAATCATCACTCAAAAAATAACATATTTGTGACCTATGGTGAAAAAAAAAATCTAAAAAGTATGACCCAGTGTATAAAAAGGATGACCTCTGAGCTTCTGTTTCTGCTCTTAGAATTTTAAAATAGCCTCTGTAGAATTCTTATCTTGCTATTTATGTATCATCTAATGCTTCTGAAAACTATGAACTTTGAGAAATTATAGGCTTTGGGCCTTTTGTTCATAGGGTCGCTATGAGTCGTGCTTGACTTGATGGCAATCAACAACAAGAAGAAGCCAATAATAGGCTTATTGTACCCATTCCCACCAACTGCAGATAGGATAATGTAAAGGGTGCAGGGGTTTAAACTGGTGCTATTACGTATCTTTCATTCGATCCTGTGGAATCTCTAGCTGACTGTGTATCCCAGCCCCTCACTCACTCTGCATTGCTGGTCATGGTCACCACCAGCAAGACCAAGAAGTTTATTCTGTAAAAGACTCTGATATGTGGTCACCCATGCCAGTAGACTTGGAGCCGTCTTATTAATCCTCCCCTCCCTGCCTTTGCATCAATAGTCTCTTTCTACCCACTCTGCCTTCCTTACGTCTTAAATCTATCATTTCTCTTTATTCTCTCTGCTAACACCTTCATTCAAGACATGATGGTTTCCTGCCTGGACTAGTGTAACTGTTTTTTTTAGTTGCTTTCCCTATTCCTTCCTCCCCTCCACTGCAGCCTAAGTGAACTTAGATATTATGGATCTGCTAAGGTCACTACTCTTTTTCAGACAGCTTCAGTTTGCTCGGCTCCACAGTCAACACTCTTGGCACCAGCAGCCAGGAAATCAAAAAACATATTGCGACGGGAAAGTCTGCAGTTAGGGACCTCTCTAAAGTACTCAAGAGCAACGGTGTCTCTCTGGAGAATAAGGTGCGCCTGATACAGGCCATGGTCTTTGTAATTACTCGTTATGCATCAGAGAGTTGGACAATGACTAGGGAGGATAGAAGGAGAATTGATGCCTTTGAGCTGTGGTGCTGGAGAAGAGTATTGAATGTTCCAAGGACTGCCAAGAAAACAAACAGATTCATCCTTGAGAGGGTTAAACCAGGCTACTCCTTGGAGGCAAGGATTCTGGGGCTTCGTCTGACATACTTTGGACATGTTGTAAGGAGAGACAGGTCCTTGGAGAGGGACATCATGCTCGGTAGGGTAGAGGGACAGCGCAGGAGGGGAAGACCCTCTATGAGGTGGATTGATTCAGTGACTGGGGTAATCGGGATGGGTGTGTCAGAGGCAATGTGATTGGCACAGGATAGAGCAGGGTTTAGGGCTGTTGTACATAGGGTCGCTATGAGTCGCAAACGACTCGACGGCACATAACAACAACATGAACTTAAAGTCTATAATCCTTCACAGACTTTCATGTGATTTGGCTCTTGCCTGTGTTTCTACTTCCGTGCTGGAAGTGGAAACATTCTTACTTTCCTGTTAGGCTCCAATGTCAGTATTGTTGTTAGGTACCATTTAGTCCACATAGTGACACATACAGCAGAACAAAACCTTGACCAATCCTATTCCATCCCTAAATCTTTGCTGGTTTTAAGTAAATTATTGCAGTTGCTGTGTCATTTAATCTCACTGAGAGCCTGCCTCTTTCACTGACCCTCTAATTTTCCGAGCATATGTCCTTTTTCAATGACTGGCCCCTCCTAGCAACACCCCCAAGTATGTGAGATCGAGGCTCATAATTTTTGCTTCTGAAAAGTGTTCGGTTTGCAAGTCTTCCAAGACAGACTTGTTTGTTCCTCTGACAGTCTGTGGCACCTTCAATTTTCTTTGCCAAAATATCCATTCTTCCTTAGTCAACCTTCACATGTATATGAAACAATTGAAAATATCATGTTTCATTCCTGGTTCACTCTGGTTTTTAAAGAGACATTCCTGTTCTTCACTTTACAGATATCTTTGACAGCAAATTTTGGTTAGTTGTACAATTTCCTACCCATTCGGCCATGAGAGCTCCCTTACTTTAGTTAGTAGAAAAGATCTGTTTTATGTAATTAATTACTATTGATCAGGCAATTTACAGACATGATTATATAAAACAAAATATGCATGAATGAAACAATGCATATTAATAATTATAAATAAGTGAAAATGGTAGAAATAATTTTTAAAAAATCTATTTTAAGTCATATGCTTTTTAAAGAACTATTTGTAAGAGATCAAATTGCCAATTGTTGTTGTGTAAAATAGCAACCCAAATATTAGATAGTAATCTTCAAGAACAGTGAGTTTGTGTTAACAGGGGAAGAATAACTCAGAAAATGAAGGTGAGATATTTCCTTGGAAATGGGGTTTTCATTGATGTATTCATGAAATAATTTCCGGTAGAGTAGGACCCAGATCTAATCATTTGTGAGCTATCCAAAGAGCAGATTAGACACAGAGAAGGTAGAGGCCCAGTGAAGAGAACCAAAGAACTCCAAGAACTCAAGGATTGTCCAGGAAAAGTGGTCAGGTGGTGTCATCTGCGTAATGCAGGTCGCTGATGATTTTTCCTTCTATTCTGATGCCACGTGCTGCTTCACAGAGTCCAGCTTCTCCAGTGATTATCCAACATATAGATAGAAAAGGCGCGGAGAAATGATGCATCCATGACACACACTTATCTTTCTTTTAAGCCATGCAGTGCTCCCCTGCACTGTTCAGACAACAGCTTCTTGGTCTAGGTATAGATTTTGTAAAAACATGATTAAATGTTTTGGGATTCCCAGCCAAATTCCTTTGCATAGTCAATTAGACACAAATAGACATTCTGCCAATATTCTCTGCTTTCTGTCAAGAGCCATCTGACCTCAGAAATGACATTTCTGGTACCATAGTCTTTCTGGACCCACCTAGAACTTCTGAAAGTTCTCTATCAACGTACCGTCCTAGCTGTTTCTGGATTATCTTCAACAGTATGTTGTTTGCATCTGATATTGATGATATTGTTTGATAATTTCCACATTCGGTTGAATCACTTTTCTTCATAATGAGAAAAAAAAATGAGGAGGACTTGAAACAGAAAATCAAAGGCCAGCTGCAGAATATCAAGGACTACAGCCTTCAATATGGGTTATGTCTCAGTATCAAGAATACAGAAATCCTCACCACTGGGCTGATGGGCAACACCATGATCAATGGAGAAAAGAGTGACATTTTCAACAACTTCATCTTACTTGGATCCACAGTCAAGCAGCAGTAGTCAAGAAATCAAAAGGTATACACAATTGAGGAAGTCTGCAGTCAGGGATCTCTCCAAAGCAGTGAGGAACAATGATACCCATTTGAAGACTAAGGTACACTTGATTCAGCCCATAGCCTTTTCAATCACTTTCTGTGCATCTAAGAGCTGGACAATGAATAAAGGGCACAGAAAAATTGATGCCTTTGAGTTGTTATATTGGAAAAGAGTACTGACTAGCCCATGGACTGCCAAAAGAAAATCGGTTACATTGTGAAGAAGATGCAGCCAGAGTGCTCCTTACAGGCACAGCTTTGTCTCGTATACTTTGGGCATGTTGCTAAACGAGGCTATTCCTTGGAAAGGACCATCATGCTAGGAAAGAGGGAAGGTCAACGAAAGAGAAGAAGATCTTCAATGAGATGGATTAACACAATCACTGCAGCAATGGGTTCAAGTATGTGAGAAATGATGATGTTGGCATAGGCTGGGCTAGGGCTCAG